TTTCAACGGGAATAATAGAGCGGTTGATTAAGAAATCAAGTCTTCTGCCTTTAAAATTTTCAGATTTAGAGCAATGCATTGATTGCATAAAAGGAAAGTACATTAAGAAAATAATAAAAGATGCCAAACGAAACGCAGGAATTTTAGAAACAGTTCACACAGACATCTATGGTCCTTTTCCTGTGAAGAGTGTGGATGGTTATGATTCATTTATAACATTCACATATGATTATTCTCATTTTGGCTATATTTATCCAATTAAAGAAAGATCAGAAGCATTGGATAAATTTAAGATATTAAAGGCTAAAGTAGAAAATCAGCCCAACTTAAAGATTAAGGTAGTAAGATCCGACCATGAGGGAGAATACTACGGTCGACACACCCCATATGGCCAAGTTCCTGGACCTTTTGCAAGGTTCTTACAGGAAAATGCCATAGTTGCCCAGTACTCTACACCGGGCGAGTCTCAGCAGAATGAAGTAGCTGAAAGATGCAATCGTATCTTAATGGATATGGTGAGAAGTATAATAAGTTACTCTACTCTACCAATAAGTTTATGAATGGAGGCGTTAAAAACCACCATTCACATTCTTAATCGAGTGACAAGAAAGTCGGTGCCCATAACACCGTATGACTTGTGAACAGGTATAGCTGGCCATGTAGCCCGAGGCACGACGGCACGGCACGAAGCCCGCTTTTTTAGCCCAACATGAGCACGGCACGGTCCGATGACATGCGGGCCTGGGCTGGCCTGGCCCAAGGGAGCAGGTCGTGCCTGGGCCGCTGCTCAGGCCCGTGGGCTGGCACGGGCTGGCCCGGCTTGCGTCAGCCGGCCCAGCAGCGGACCGACCACCCCCCTCCCCCTCCTCACTCATCCTCCCCTCCCCAAGGGCCAAGGACCAGCGCGGCGCCGCAGCCCAGCGTGGCCGGCCCACCTTCCCTGCCTCCCCCCTCCGCATATAAAAGCGCACGGGCCGGCTCCACACCACAGCGCAAGCTCGCCCTCGCCTCGCCTGGCTCGCTCTCCGTCCCCCTTTCCCACACGCGTTGTCCCCCTTTCCCACACGCGCAAGCTCGCTCCTCCGTCCTTCCTTCTCCACTCCACCGCTGAGGTGAGCCGCCGTGGGCTCGGGGCTCCTCACCTCCCAACCTCTTCTTGCTGCACGCGGCCGGATCCTCCTTGGTGGCATCCACCGTCACCTCCCACGGGCTGCCCCTGCCTCCTCCTGCCACGCGCGGGTGCGCGGCCGCCACCTCCAGCTGGATCCACCTCGGGTGCGCGGCGTCAAGCTCGACAGTAGCAACAGCGTCGAGCGGGCGGTCTCCTCCATCCTCATCCTGGCTCCTACCGCCGGATCCGGTGGTCGCCGCCAGCCCGCCACCTCCCGCGACTCGAGCAGCTCACGCCAACGGCCTCCCCTCCCCCGCTCTCTCTCTCTCTCTCTCTCTCTCTTTCTCTTGGTTGTGGTTGCGGGCTTCGGGATGGCCGCACTCGCACCCCGCTTCTCCCCACGCGCGACGCGGGAGACGGGCCTCCTGCCCTCTATGCCACCCACCGCCTTGCTTTTGACCGCCGTCCTCCGTTGACCTCTCTCCTCCGTCCTCTCTTGAGGAAGGGCCTCGCCGAGGCTCGGCCTATTAAAAAGGTCGTGTGCTACGGACTGCCGCAAGACAGAAGTGTGGCTGACGGGCCGTGCCTAGGCCATCGGTTAGGCACGGTGGACTAGGGCGGCACGGCCCGGCGGCCCATCGTGCTCTACCGTGCCGTGCCCTACCGGGCCATGCCTGACACAGGCCCATGTCGGCCCGAGCCGGGTGGCCCGAATGGCCATCTATATGAACAGGAAAGAAATCCTCACTTAACTATTTATGTGTGTGGGGTTGTCCAGTTGAGGCTAAAGTCTTTAACTCAAACGTAGGGAAGCTTGACTGCAAGACAATCAGTTGCCATTTCATTGGCTATCCAGAAAAGTCAAAATGTTATCGCTTCTATTATCCTGACAGACAAATAAAGTTTGTAGAAACAAGACATGCTGTATTCTTAGAGGATGATATGATAAGGGGAGCATGGTAGCACAAGAAATTAATTTTGAAGAGAAGCGGGTATACATGTCCACTCCAATGGTTCAGCAACCATTCTTCATGCTACCAATTATTGCTATACCAATAGTGTAAGACACTGTAGTAACAGCACCTGTTGTTAGTTCTCTTGTGGCAACAATGAATGAACATGAGGAACCTGTCATTCAGGAACTCATAGAACACGTTGTCACACATCAGGAGGAGCAACAGCAGCCTCATATACAAGCGTCATCTAACGAGGCCCCTAGAAGGTCTCAAAGAGTCAGGAGATCAGCCATTCTTGAAGACTACGAAGTTTATGAATGTGAGAAATTTCAAATGGAGGGTGATTCCACCTCTTTTGAAGAAGCCATGAGAAGCGCTCACTCATCAAAGTGGCTTGAAGCCATGGAAGATGAAATGAAATCAATGAAAACCAATGGTGTTTGAGACTTAGAAACAATTTCTAAAGAAGCCAAGACAGTAGGGTATAAATGGGTCTACAAAACCAAACATGACTCCAAAGGAAATATAGAAAGATTCAAAGCGCGACTTATGGCGAAAGGCTTCACGCAAAGAGAAGGTATAGATTATAAAGAGATATTTTCTCCAGTCCTATATAAGAATTCTTTTAGGATCATAATGGCGCTTGAAGCACATTACGATTTAGAATTACATTAGATAGATGTAAAGACGGCATTCCTAAACGGGGATCTAGAGGAAAATGTTTACATGGCAAAACCGAAAGGTTTGTTGTGGAAGTAAAAGAACGTATGGGATGCTGCCTGAACAAATCCATTTACGGATTAAAACAAGCTTTAAGACAGTGGTATTTGAAGTTTGATAGTACAATAAAAAAGTTTGGGTTTCAAGAAAATATAGAGGACAATTGTGTTTATGCAAAGTTTAAGAATGAGAAATACATTTTCCTAGTCTTGTATGTGGATGATATCTTGCTCGCTAGCAGTGATGCTAATCTACTACTAGAAACAAAGAAGTTCTTGTCCTCGAAGTTTGATATGAAGGATCTCGGTGAAGCTTCGTTCGTCCTAAGAATAGAGATTCACCGAGATAGAGAAAAGGGGTTTTAGAATTATCACAAAAGGCATACTTAGAAAAAAGTTCTAAAGAAATACAGCATGCAAAATTGTAAGTCTTCACCTGCTCCCATAGTCAAGGGCGATAGATATGGGGAATTTCAATATTCTAGGAACCAATATAAGATCGATCAAATGAAAGCGGTTCTATATAGTTCAGTTGTCGGAAGTTTATAGTATGCTCAAGTATGTACTCGCCCTGACTTAGCATTTGTTACCGGGTTACTTGGCAGATATCAGAGTAATCCAGGAATAGAACACTAGAAATTAATAAAAAAGTTTTTGTGTTACCTGCAAGGTATGAAGGGTCAGAAGATCTGATTCCCTACACATAGAGGAATATATAGATTCTGATTATGCGGAAGATGACAGAAAGTCCACATCAGGATACATATTCACTCTCGCAGGAGGAGCTATATCGTAGAAAAGCTCAAAGCAAACCGTCACTATATCGTCCATAATGTATGCCGAGTTTATAGCATGTTATGAGGCCACAGGGCAGGTGAATTGGCTGAAAAATTCATACCCGGGTTGAAAGTGGTAAACGACATACATAAGCCACTCAAGTTATACTACGATAATAATTCCAGCAGTATGTTATGCTCACAACAATAAATCAGTTGGTGCTGCCAAACACATTGACATAAAGTATTATGTTGTGAAAGATAAAGTCCGGGATCATATAATTAGTCTTGAGCATATAAGAATAGAAAAGATGCTCACGGATCCGCTTACAAAAGGCTTACAACCCAGCGTGTTCAGAGAACACTTAGCCGGCATGGGTTTAAGGGAAAACCTATGATTCCTGGACAATAAGGGCCTAGTTGAGAATCTGCTTCAAAAGAGAGGTACATTGTAGCTGTTAAATCTAATGACAACTGATCGTGACGATGAGGCATGCTCTATGCACTGATATGTGATGGAATAGGAAAAAGATAAAGTAAATTAAGTTTAAGTCATAAGGTGAGAATAAGAGAAATAATGTTATATCGATCTCCACCAATTGGCCCGGGCCCTTGGATCCAGCGCCTTGATCCGGGGCGGCCAACCGCTCCATGGTTGGTAGGTCCCCGTCGCACAGCGCCATAACAAGGGAGGTGGGGGCCGGAGCACAAGGCACGAGAATCACCTGCGCCACCAGACACCCCACCTACACCTCTAACTCTAAGTTGATCTAGAGAGAGGGCGCTGTCAGCGATGGAAAACCGCCACCGCCGCGTCTTCACCACCGCCTCTGCGACGCCGCCTCTGCACCGCCGCCTCTGCGACAACACCGACGTGATGGTCAGCCCGTCTTCTTCGAAGACGACCGATGGTTTATATCTCCTCCTCCTTCCTCTCTTTGTATCTCGTATTAGCTTATATTCTAGGGTTTGCCATTTATCCTAAATACAAGTTATACCTGCTAGCTGCTAGATGATCCTGTTAATCTATCATGAGCAACCCAGCAGTGCACGATTGATGCCCCTGGATCTCTTCCTCGTCAACTCCCTCGGTCGTTTTGCTACTGTCACGAGCACAACAGGGGCGTCCGAACGCATCGCGCTGCACTTTGAATTTTCCACAAGAAAAGCGAACGCGCGGGCTGTGAGGCGTTCCATCGAACACCATCGATGCGCGTGCTGGGCACAGACGCTACGGCCTTCAGTTCAGGTTGTGCAACTGCAGTAGCGGCGCGGGGACAGAATCCAGCTTTCGCAAACAAGATTCCCTGAGGATTCTTCTTGTAATGAACCCATGCCATGAAAGAGCTGCTTGTAAATCTTGGATGCTTGGGCGGGCGACTAGCCACAGAGGTTGTATTGCAATCAGCTCAGCCTCATCCGGCCGAATCTCCCCAAGATGTGTATGGGTATGGATTCCCCCAAGGCCGAGGTCCGTGGTTCTTGTCTTCTTCGCTGCGAACGAACCCTAGCCAGAGTAGCTGTTGCAGTGAAGCTCATGCCAACGCGCAACGCGCGGCCTCAGCGTCTCGTCGTCGTCGAGGTCCGTGCTCACCGCCAACAGATAGATGAAGAGGCAAGTAAGGTATTGAGATGCATGCTCTGCCATAGCGCTGGGTTCGGCCCAAGCGGACGTTAGTTTTTGCTTGGTTCAGCACAGTATTTTTTTTACTGTTACAATTGCATTAATAAGTGATGAAAAATATAGCAGGCAATTGTTAATCAAAAGTTACATCATCTGCTTTCTGCCATTCTGTTTTACTTAGTAGTACATCTCAATAGTATTATTGACTTCCGTAACATCATTTCACGTCGGGGACTCGGGATTGAACTTTTCTTTTCTGCACCTGAATTTTATGAGTGACAGTTGCGCACTCAAATTAAAGGTGTTGTAAAAATCGGATGAAACTATATTTACAGAAAACAAAGAAGTTGGGGAAGGTTACAACAACAGAACATTTGAAGCATTCCTCAATTCTGCAGTATTTTCCAAGGATGTTGAAGGGGTATCAGAGAAGTCTGTCATTATCAGACTTCAGGAACTGGTGCATTCTCTTGTCATCAATGAGGAAATTCCTTGGAAATTTGTTGATGCCACCTGATTCAGGTATGCCTTATTCTCGTCATTCTGTTGGTACTCCTAAATGCAGCATTTTCATCATTAAAGTACAATAAAATGGCTCTATATATGCAGTACTTGCAAAGTTGAATAGACCTGCAGAAATTCAATTCTGTATTCATCTTTGATGTTGAGATTTGAAAAAAACACAAGTATAACTGTCAGCACATGATGAACAATTCCAGATTGACTGCTTGCCTATATCTTTCTTGACATCTAGGACGAATTTGAAAGTGAATTGTTGCAAAGATACTTAACTTTATGTGTACTACATACATGTTTTCCTGATGAACCTTTTTGAAACATTGCAACATGACAAGTCACTAATGGAGATGACCATCCCCGTCCACAATGTTTATGATGTATTATGCCATGCTTTTTCTGACTTTAGCTCGTTTGCAGGCAGATCAGGGTTTGAAGTACCAGTGCTTCATTATCCTGAAAACGTCTCCACTAATTTGCTACTTCTGAATAAAGTGTATGCCTGGCATATCAGAGGAGGTTTTTCCCAACATGAGGTGCAAGAATGGAAGCTTTTATATCGTAGTTCTCTTCATGGACAAAGCTTCAACACTTTCTTAGGCAAAGTAACGTGAGTACTTTTCAATTTTGTAAATCTTCTGAAGTGGAACTTCTACTTCATTCATAATTAAAGTGGCGTGTTATTATATATGGAAATGGCATAATGAAATTAAAATTCCACCCTCATGGCATGGTTTCAGTTATTTTCTTAGACTGCATAGTGGCCACATTGGTGCTAATAATGTGCACAAGCTTGTCAGTTTAACAACCTATTGTCATGATTCATGAGAGTCCTTATACTTGCCCTCTCACAGCCTATGCTTTCTACATTAATAATTTTGGAACTATATATGTAATCCTTGGATATGTATCTTGTGTTTATAGGAATGGAGATGTACAGACTGTCTGATTGTTAAAGATACAGAAGGATCAGTTTATGGTCGATTTGCATCCCAGCCTTGGGAATGGCACAGCGATTTTTATGGTGACATGAAGACATTCCTCTTCAAGTTATATCCTCAAGCATCCATTTTCCGGCCTACAGGAGCAAACAAAAATTTGCAATGGGTATGCCTTGCTCAGTTCAAAGCATCAACTCTGTTTTACTTTTCTTCACGTTTGTATTATGACTCAGCATCTCCAGAATTGTAAACGGTGGAGTAGCTTACATCATTAGCTTATTTTTGCAGCGTGCTATAAACTTTAGCTCTGAGAACATACCTAATGGTATGGGTTTTGGAGGGCAGCCACACCATTTCGGACTCTTTTTATCTGCAAATTTCGATCAAGGGCACTCATTTACTTGTAGCACGTTTACCAGCCCTCCCCTTTCCAAGATTGATTTTTATAACACTGAAATTTCTGTTTGATCCAAAGTGATACAGAGCTGACTGAGCTCATGGTTTATAGTTGTAACTCTTGGACCTAACTGTTTATTGTCGTTTTATTCCCCTAATTTTGGCTGATATGTCTTGTGTGCCTATATGATTGCATCTTTTGATTTTTATAACACTGAAATTTCTATTTGATGATCCAAAGTGATACATAGCTGACTGAGCTCATTATTTATACGTTGTAACTCTTGGACCTACTTTGTGCCCATTAGGAATTAGTAAGTAACTGTTAATCACTCAATATAATCCTTGGCCGCCCTTGCAATGTCGTCGCTTCTTCTTCCGATGTACCTGGCCTCTCCGCTTCTTCTTCTGATGTCGTCGGTGGCTTGCGGCGCTCCTGCTGGTGCGGCGGCGCCTCTCCCTCGATCCGTCGTCATGGCGAGACGGCGGCCGGCGGCGCACCTCGCCGTGGCGCACGCGCGTCTCACGGGGTTGCTGCTCTCGATGCCGCCCAGGACAACCGAGAGCCTGCGGACGACGACGGCCTCGCCGCAGCTCCCGCCGCCGTGCCTCATGGTCATGCCTCCGCGGCCGTCCTCGTCCAAGCTCCGCCGCGCGGACGGCGGACTCCGACAACGAGAGGCCGGTCGCGCACAAGGAAGAGAGCGATGAGATGGACAAGCCGTAGCAGCAGGCGATGATAGTCTGCGTCGCCCTTCTTCACCTCGCCGGAGACGTGCACGCTTCCCACCGCCCAACGGACGCGCCGGAGCCAGTTAGCAGCCTATGTATGGACAAGCACTATTGCATATATGCGATTTCAAATGAATTCAATTTCTTTCGAAACATGATATTCTGAAAAAAAAAAGACTTGAACATTATAGACTTTAAAAACTTAGGCTGAGATTTGGCTGACTTGACGGTGGGGATGACCAGAATGCAGCCTACCCTGCTGGCTTGCCGGACGCCACCTCGATCGCTCCCTTCCCCAAATTCTGCTGTTAAGGCCTAGGTGGCCTGTCCATTTCTGATTTATTAGGGTTTGTCACGGCTGGTCGGCCCGCCGTTCACCCTCGCATCGCGCCGGCCGGCCGGCCGATCGGTCACCACGCTTTGAGGTTTGATTCGAGGACTCCCCGCGCCGACTCCCCGCGCGGCCGCGGCCTGGCCGACCGGCGCTTCCACCTGCGGCCACCCAGACCTGGGCGGGTGCGCCCGGTTCCTCCACCTCGACACGGGTGCCCTGGTCCGCACCCGGGTCCCGCTCCTCGGCGACAGCTACTGGGCCGTCGACTCGATCGACGGCCTCCTGCTGCTGCTGCTGCGGGACCCGGACCACGGCGGCGCCGTCCGCCTCCTCCACCCTTTCACCGGTGATGTCGCCGAGCTTCCACCCCTAGGGACGCTCCTCCCGCACCTGGGCCCGTAGCTCCACGGCTGTCCTCCTCAGTACAGGATCAGGCAGCTTGCAAAAGTCGTCTCCGCTTCCGTTTCCTTCGACGACGCCGGAGCCATGACCGTCATGCTTGCACTTCCTGGGGTAGGCCGTGCGGCCTTTGCTACCCCCCTGGACCAGCAATGGACTCTGTCGAGCTGGGAACACGAAATGAGGTTTTCATTGTCGTTCCAAGGCAAGCTGTACGTGCTGCACACTCCCCTCGGAGAAGAAGATGTACACCAGGTTCTCCGGATCGACCCACCTGTGCAGCAGGATGGGGCGGGCGGAGGTCGGGCGCTGCTGTTAAGTAATCTGCTTCTCCGTACGCGCGGCAGTACGCGCGGCAGGTGTAGGCGTCGAAAAGGCTCATCTGCCGTTGCACTGTAGCCGCTGCAGGGGCAGACGTTGAAAGGCTCCCCTCTACACTATAGCCACAGCAGGGGCAAACGTCAAAGTCAGCTCTGCTGTCACATCTAGTCACTGTAGTAGCATGGCAGCCTGACATGTCTATGTACTAGGATTAGATGGGTAGAGTTGTATTTATAATTTTCCACTGTAACTCAGTAAAGAGAGTGAATTCAGTTTTACCATCTTCTCTACAGAGCTCCGATCAACGCTGATGCTTGTGCTGTATATGAACGTTGTTCTTCCTTTTTTTTTTTTTACCTCTAGCTATAGTGACCGGTTGGTGACGACGGTGACACACCCGTGCTGGGAATAGGGGCCAACAACTGCCACCGCCAGAGGTGATCACCACATTCCCTAAAGACAAGCTCCCCAATCCTTTGCTGGGAATCTAGGGGCCTGGTAGAGTGTGCTTCAGAGATCCTGGTGCTTGATTTATCTTGGACGCAAATCTTCGTTTACAAACTAGCAGACCTTGTGCTGCAAAGGTTTGTCCCAATAAAAAGCCTCGGAGGCAATACCATGGAAGAGAGGAACATAAGTGTTTCCTCCGAGATACTGCATACCGTCAAGGGTGACAATGTTGTCTACTTCACTGGCAGCAGGATTGTGCAATACCACCTCGGTGGTGACAGCTTGTCAACGGCAGTCGATAATTGCAGCCTGTTTGGCCATGCACCAGGACCTAGTCCCCTCGTCCTGTACGTCTTCAGCTGCTACATTCGTAATCCGTGGTATGTGGCTAGGTGTATTTTGGTTCATTTCCTTTCTACACCCTTTCCCGCTACCATCAGTCTTGTACTTTGGGTCTATAGCTGTTATTTTTTTTATTTTTTTGCATTATGTGCTTACAGGAGCAGGGGAATAGTATTAAGAAGGGATATAGAAGATTGTCCGTGGATTAAAAATGAAGGGCAAGTTCTACCATAACGAGGTAGTCCTTTATCCTTTGTTTCCTATACCAAGTTTGGTAAAAGAAAGTTTAAATTCTGAATTCCAAGCTTACAATGCAACAATAGAGGAACTGTTCCTTTCCCCTGGTCTAGGATAGCTTTTCTTTTGTTGCTGTGCGTTGCAATTCACATGCTATTTGTGTGCTTTTCTTTGTTTGTTGTGATTTATTGATACCTGTATCATTTTTGCTTTAAGTATTTGACCTTCAGATACGCAGAGCTGTTTGCATAATGACTGACAATGAGTCTGTATGTTGTTTATGTTGTTGGAGAAAAGGATACTAAAATATTTACAGATTAATTTATACTCTCTCCGTTCCAAATTATAAGTCACTTTGACTTTTTTGTTACATCCAATTTGCTATGTATCCAAACATAACATATGCCTAGATACGGAGTAAATTCAATATACTAAAAGTCAAAGTAACTTATAATTTGAAACGGAGGAAATACCTTTTTCTAAATACATCCACTAACAGGCACTTATTTCGATGATGTGTGCCCATAAACGATGGGAATGAGCAAGAAACAACACTTAAGTCTAGTAGCATGTTGCAAATCTACGAAAATGTTTTATATTAATGGTCAAAACTAGTTGTGATCCTAAAACAGTTTATTGCTTTGATGGTACGGAGTAATGCTTTTGTGCTTTATGTCCAATTGTACTAATTCAATTGTTATAATCATTCATTTAACGCGCTCTTCTACTCATGCCCCATTTTCCAGGCGTAAACTGACAACTGGTGAAACTGGATACCTGTTACGCTGCATGACAAGGAAATATGAGATTCTGGGCTATTTTGACAAACATTACCATTCCTTCCGTTATGCTATAACTTTGACAGTACCTTGTAATATTAAGCTGCTATTGTTGTTTACAAATATTTATCTATGTGCTGCATTGATGTAATGTGGGCTTTTACAGGTCTATTAATTAGTATATCTCTCTGGGTATAAATGTGATGGCTCTGGTGGAAACTGAACAAAATCCCTTTTCTTTTGAAATTCTGATAAAAAAAATGACATGTTCCTAGCCTCTTCACTGGTTCTTCAGGCACTTTGCTTTGTGGACTCATTTGTAATTAGTTTCTTTCTTGTTCAACTTTATTTTATTCCTTTCTATGCATAAAACATAAACACTTCTGATAAGGTCATTTGTAATTAGTTTTGCCACTTACCTCAAGATGTTTAGTTTATAATGTTGTGTAGAGACCTTTATTTGGACTTTCCCATTTTACAATCTAGGCCCTTAAAAATTAAAAAAACATAGGTGCATAATGAAAATAAGTTAGAATAATTTGAGATGCTTTCTGCTTATACTGGGTGACCTATACTATCAATTCAGTTCATTTAGAATTCTAGAAGTTATACATATTTTATTTGCTTCTACACATAGAAGAAATATTTTTCTATTACAAAGGTAAAAAAAAACTGTACCGGCATGTGCTACCTAGGCTATGTAGGCGGGCCGCATGGTTTGGTGCTGCACGTGGTCTGACCATTTGCTACCTGAGGCATTGAGCAATGTGACCTACATCCTTAGAGCCCGTTTGGCCGGGCTCCGAGCGGCTCCGGCTTCTCTGACTCCTTTTCTGTTCATCTCCTATAGCGACATTATTCACCGGGGCTATTTTTCTCTCTCCTCCTTTCCTCTCTCACTGACAGCGCCGGAGCTAGAGATGCTCGTTTTTTTGCTCCTCCGGCTCCAGCTCCTGCGCGCTACAGTGTGGGAGCCAGAGCCGGCGGGAGCTTGGCTAAAGGCGCCCTTAGACTTCTCTGTGCCTCCTCCTCTTCTTCTCGTCCTCTTTTTCTTTTATTGTTTTCTTGAAGGATAATGGGAGGTGTTAGAATTAATTACCTCTTAGCTATAATCTCTTAGTCCTGTGCGCCACCTCCAGGCTGCCCAGGCCCTTTGGGCTCTCCCTGTTCTCCTATATATACGTGTAACTCCTCCTGTAATCCTATTAAGCAATCTAAGCCTATTGCCCTTCCTCTGTCATGGTATCAGACTAACTTACGATTCCTCTGCTTCCGCTATTCCCGGCGCCCGCCTCGAGCCGCGCCCGCTCCTTCATCTCTCGCGCGCGCACGCCTCGAGTCGCGCCCGCCCCACGCGCCCGGAGCCGCCGCGACCCTTCCCTGTCTCCGGCGTGCTCGGAGCTGCCCCATCGACGCGCCTGGTGCCGCCCCAGCCACGCGCCCATGGCCACTTCAACCTCCGGCGCCTCCGCCGCGGC